ACCGCCGGCCGGTTGGGTTGCCTACCTACAGGCGCGAAATTCCAGAAGGTAAATTTGGCTCTGGCACCCTTATTTTAGATTTCCGACCCCAAGTGTCCTATATCAAAATACTCCCCTACGCACCACCTACACGCTCCCAAACGGTGGCAGGTACTATAGGAATCACCCTGTATATACGCTGTATTTTAAAATACAAATCTAGTAGTAGTGTATACACCATACAGTGTGTCTAACGACGAGCTAAACCGATTATATCTGGGAAAGTAATGCAAATCAATTTCTCAGAATTCGAATGCCGAAGAGACGGTCCAGTACCTTGCCCACAGAGAACGCGCGATCATACGCCACTGTTCTCCGCGCGCGACTCATTTTCGAGATCAGTTACGTTAGAATTGATTTCATTTGTCATAGTATTCTAATGAAAAGTCTCAACGACAGGAACTGTTTTCTACCAACTACCGCTCTTCCCCTTTGACCCTCTATACAAAATTGGGAGGTTGTAGGAAGGGGGAGGCACTGGTTTGTACCCATTCAAGCTATATGCTATATACTGAAAGAAGGATCAAGTACTTAGCAAAAATCTTGGCAATACTGCATTTCCTTTTGTGAGTACCCTCCTTCTTTGAATAAACATGTACATTTTATGTATGCCTAGTGTATGCTATTATTTATTAACATAACGGGTGGTGCCTAGCGCGACGCAGCATAGGGATTTCAATGGTAATTTCTTTATAGCCAATTACTAGCTCCCCTAATTATTTTAGAGCAAAAGTCTAAATACGTTTTTTTTAGAGAAAAAAAATACTGCATCTGTTCATACGATTACTTATAATTTTCCGTTTTTCAAAACCGTAGAAATCCACAAAATAAAAAATCACATTTTTATAAATCAGTGATGCTTTGGAATCTTTAAACAAACTACAAGCGCATCGCAACTCAGTTATTGTTGTTTGACGTCGAACGATTTTCATATTTAATTCTGTTTCAACTAACCGACGCAAGAAAAAGCGTCTATGGGATAATGTTTTTTTAGAGAATGTAATGCTGCATCTTCATCGGATACTATTTGTTTATCATTTTCCGGAACCTGAGTACATACTCGAAGAAGAAGAAATTGATTTGAGGAAGAATTGTTCTTAAACTTATATTCGGATTTTCCGCTACTGCAGCCAAAGCGTTGAATGTATTGTCGTTTTCCTGGTGGTTTTGACGGACATTTTGCACGTTATTGCACTTGCAGTGATATATCACTGTTCCTGATGTTCTTTGAAACTTGTGCACAATTCTGTCTACGGTGGTACTGCTTGGATTCGGCCGATTGGGGTGCTTCACACTAAATAAAGACGTTCTTGGCGGGCATAAAACAACTTTAACATTTCCTCTTTCTCACATGATAAACAATTTTATGATTAACTATATAATAATAAATTTAATATACGTCAAAGGCAAAATAATGAAACGTTGTCGCTGATTTTTAGGTAATTCCAAGGCATATCTGATTTATTGTAAAATGTACCTCTTTATTTTGTCGATTTCTACGGTTTCGAAAAACGGAAAATTATGAGTACTAGTACGAACAGATGCAGTATTTTTTTCTCTGAAAAAAACGTATATAGACTTTTGCTCAAAAATAATTAGGGGAGCTAGTAATTGACTATAAAGAAATTACCATTGAAATCCCTATGCTGCGTCGCGCTAGGCACCACCCTGTATTTACAGCATACATACACTTTTTATAACACAGCGAAACTTTATTAAGAACACTTTAATCTTAAAACACCATATCTACCCCCCAAACGTTCCCTACGTGTCCCATTCCAACTCCCCATCCACCTCATAATGTCCTCTATTATCTATTCAGTATTCTGCACAACATATTGCATGGGCATAAGTGTAAGAAATGCAGTTATGTGATAAAATGACGAAGATGAATAATTATATAACCGGCAACTCGGAAACCGGAAAATGTAACTAATAAAAACAGTAAACGTCTAAGACACGATTGGAATAATATTTCAAAAATTCAACAGTAGCACAGCTAATTTGAATTTGGATGGACAGCCAACAAACGCGAAAATGCGACTAAGAAACGACCAACAAACAATAGCAGACAATAATATTTCAAAAATTTAAACCGTGAAGGGGTAAATTCGTCTAATCCGTATTCCAAGCTCCAAGTCAGTCGCTACTTCGTACTCCTTTGTCTATCAAAATGAGTAATGGGAGAACATATTTTGATGGTGTTGTCATTATTTTATCCTTATCAACTACCCATAAAAAAGTCTAGCACTTTTGGCATTAAATTTCACAAAGGCATTAATATGTGAAAATCAATTAAAAGGAGTGTAGAAAAGAACGTAGACATCCTGAAATAATGTATAGATACTGAGGATGTTAGTGGAGGGTGTACGGTTTGACACCGAGGGTGATTCAGACTGTTTACTTTGGACTACATGGAAAAATCCCTCGTTTCAGATGCCGTGTATCGATCTAATATCTCGATTGAATGGACGGTGTAATTAAGATAGGTTGTCAAATAAGTTCTTTGTGAACGATTTCTCTAATTCGAACGAGATGTATTGTTGTGTGTGCATGGTGTTTAATAAAAGAATACTCTTTTTGGCGGTAGTTAGCCTGCTCGTAAACAAACGCTTCCTCAAAATTCTGCTATAAAACATCACAACACAACCAGAGATAGATTTCCAAGAGTTCTAATTAATGACTGAAGTTCTGCGCATTGGCATTATTAATTAGTTTAATATTGATAGAAATAAAATAAGTTTTGATTTGTTATCATTTCTCTGGGTACCAATTTACCTACTATACCTAGGTAGGTATACTCGAGACGATTAAATATTACTGTCCGTCTAAAATTACCATCTAGGTTAATACAGAAAAATTACTCTTAAGGTTTTGCTAATGTAAAGATTAAACAACTGTGGTAGGGGTAAATGAATCCACGTGTGCTTAGCATCCAAAGTAATTACACCACAAAAAAAGTTAACAAAGGGTTCTTAGCTTCAACGTGATGGCTACAAATTATAAATTAAGAATTGTTTATTAGAGTTTATGAGCTGCTAAACAATTATATCCAACTTTAGAAATTAGTCTTCCGTATGTATGTAATTATGCAGAAGCTTCTTTTCCGGTTTCGTACCATGTAATTTATTTTAAAATAATCCCCTCATCAGCATTCACCAGCATCAGCGTGCTTTCCTATTTATCAGCCTTTCGTTAATTAATATCAAAATCTAAATAAAACCCCAACATCTGCATGAGTTTCACGTTTCAATCGATATTCACCCTTACCAACTTTGTTATACGGAACAAACTGAATGAGTTTGTGAGCTATCACATCATACTTCGTTGCACTTTGAAGTGTTGCAAGTTTGGTAAACTTTTTGGTTTGAAAGTTCGTTCATCCCCTTCATGTTTCGATCGAATCCCGCGTCCTTTCGCATTCCTCTTTGCACTTTAATGTCTTAACAGTGTTGCTGCTAACGACCACTCTTTGTCATCAGATCCTGTTCATCAAGATTACTTGTTCCCTCGGACTCATAATGATACGTTTTATGTGGGGGAAAATTTTTGCTTTTCTATTTTATTTTTCGGTCGAATACGGAGGGAATCGTGTTAAATAAAAATTTGCCCCAATGAGGATGAAAAACAGTTCCTTGCGTTAAACGAAAGTTAAAATTTACACATTCAAGATATAACTTGCACGTGTTTAGAATACACGCGAAAGATCACGTTCTTATTTAACGATTGGATCACCGAAGATCCCATTGCCAGGGAAACTCTTACTAACTTTACAAATTGTGTTTTCTTGTTTCGTCCGTTGTATTTTCGGATTCAATCAACTATGTACGTTATTGGAAATGATGGGCGCCTTTCTTTTCGCGAAAAGAGAAAGCTAATGTGCGTGAGAACAATTACCCCGCGAAATCAGGCAGCAGATGGTGAGTTCGTATTGAATTGGATAAACTTAGGGAAACAAGTAGACAAATTTATATTTCTTTGGTAATACGAATTCTATTGTGTTTTATACCAATGTGTATATTGGGTTATTTAAATTTTAAATGACAAATCGATGTTAAAAAGAGATTGTATTCAAATAAGAAGACGTAAACGTCGAGAATTGCACAGAGAAGTTCCAGCTTTTACACACGAAATCGGTTGATTTATTCGATTGAATAAATTTAAATACAAAAGGAGAATAAACGACACGTTTACTTCATTTTGGATATCTGGGGTTTCATAAAATTTTTCATCTACAAACAACAACTCTCGGCACCTTACATTAATTAAAATGCCAAACTTGCATTTATAAGAAGAGCAATAAACCTGCTGTTTTCTTTAAAATCCAGGTTGATAAATTGAATTTGTCGCGTAAAGCAGCCCGTAAGAATTGCACTAATTTGCTTATCGCGCTCTACTTCTCAAACAATTTACGAAACATTCAGCTTCATTCTAGTTTAAATAAATTTAAACCGAACAATTTCTCCAGTAGATAAAGCGGGTTATACTTGAAAAACTTGATAATTGCTATTATAACCGCCGCAATCTCTACTAGTGGATTAATTGTTCTCGTAAAACTCCAGTTTTGCAATCGCACAAGTCCTCAATGAACCCACCTCATTTTTTAATTAGTCTTATTCAAAATATCACCCAAATACACAATTATTAAATTACCTCGTAGAACTTGGCAAACTTCTAGATAAAATGAATGCTCCCAACTTTCATAAATTTAAAACCAAATCTCAGCGTAGGTATCTGTTTGATCTAGTTTCAAAAGTTACTGCATTTTAAAATAGTTCCTTTGCGTAATTACTACAGAATTTCGTAGTAATTTGATTAAATTTGTTCAATAGAAAAACTTCCACGTTAGCTTTTGTTAGGATAAAAACGAAACCCTTATCCAAATTTCGGCTATTCCACGATTAGTTGGAAATTACACGTATTTGTACTCGTTGAGAACAGCCGCGTTTGTGTGCAATTGATATCAACTTCCAATGTCTGCACTTTTGATACGTTGTTAACCTTAACCTTTTGGCGAATAATATAAAGGTGGGCCGCAGTTTGAGTTCAATTATTGTACTTGTTGGGTGTATCGAATATAGAAGACGATAAATAGCTCCGAAAATGAATCGCACACTTATTGTAAGTTAATATTTTACAATTCTTTCTTTTGCGGCCTTTTTTGTACACAGAAATTAATTATTTCACTTCTCTAAGGTGGCACTTTTCTGCGTAATACTTGCCCTCCAGACCATGGGTCACAAAAGCGTGGACGAGTACCATGAAGACTCCAAACATTACGATTCATATGAACAAGACCACGGCCATGGGCATCATCACGATCACGAAGATGGTTACGAACATGGCCACGAACATGGTCATGAACATGGTCACGAACATGATCATGATCATGAACATGGACACCATCATGGACACGGTGAAGATTCGTATGGTTACGGCGAATATGAGAATGGCGGGCACGGTCACCATCATTACGATGACAAGGACCATTATAAAAAGTGATAGATCGCACGACTGTCGTTTGTATTATTTTAGTGTGTGGTTAACGTGTTTGTCAATTGCTTTTAATATGTACATAAATGTCTTATCAAAATAAATCATTATATGCAGTAAAATGAATTGCTTATAGGTAATCAGGAGGAAATATTTCAGGTACCCCAAGTAAGTTTGCGATTGGAAACAGAAGCTAAGACAGATTTTGGAACAGCAAATTAATAATTACTTCAGAGAGAAGAATTTTACGTGGTTTATCTTTCAAACTCGTAAGTCGTTTTTGTGAAACTTTCACATCTTGTCATCCTAACAAAAAAATACAAATGTCCCATACATAGCTCGCTATACAAGAAATTGTTTATTGAAAGAGGTTTTAACTAATTTAACTGAATCTGTTGTGTATGTATAACCTGTCTCTTGAAATTGAACTTGTATTATATCTGGAAGAAACTGTATTTTTAGGGAAATTTAGTAGTAGTAGATTAATTATGCAAAACTTGAAAAATATATCATGACTGGTTTTTTATCCGAAATACCTAGCGAAATACGTTTCACCATCGTAGGTTCCGTTAGAATTGGAATTCCCGGTAAGTATCGTAAAGGAGATCGATCAGTTATTAGTGACGTGAATTTGTCTTTCCTTCACATAATAAAATGACACCATCTACAAAAGTATTACCTGTCCCAATATGGAGCATTATTGTGGTCCTCCATATTTACGAATTGATCAATCTCTCTCTATTCACCTAACCCTTCAGTGCTGTGGAATTGCGCCATTATCACAATTTTATAATTTAATTTACCTACTTAATTTGCGTTGGAGCATCATTTATACCTACTTGCTTTTCACAACCATCAATTCTATTTCACCATGAACACAAACTACAAATGCTTTTCTTTAATCTCCAAGCGTCTATTATCCCAAAATTCCAGTAAAGCAAAATTCGTTCAACAATAAAATCCTGTGTATAATGAGAATATTTCAGTTTTTTTAAAGTAAATCACAACATTTCATTTGAATTTGTATTTCAGTGTTAGTTCCTGTTTTAGAATTGTTTCTTATTGCGAGATTTTGTTTAGATTTTTTCGCCTTGTATTTGTTCAATTTAGAGTAGTTACTTGGTTTATTTCATTTGAATTTGTATTTCAGTGTTAGTTTCTGTTTTAGAATTCTTATTGCGAGATTTTGTTTAGATTTTTTCGCCTTGTATTTGTTCAATTTAGAGTAGTTATTTTATCGATGAAATTCTCCATTTTTATTAGCTTTATTCATATGAGGTTAAAAAACACACAGGAAGTGCAGTCGAGCTAATAGGTTTTTATTTTTCTGTATAGGCTATCGATTTCGGTACGTTAAGCAATACCATCTTCAGGCCGTAGCTGTAATACTTATAATTATGGTTATTGTTTATAAATAAAATAGTTTACCGTCATTAGTACAAGATACAATATAAGAAGCAGGTGAATGAAACATTGTGTGGGAGATGTTAGAAATATGTAGCTTGGATGATCTCAATCAGCAGAAATCATAAAGGTGAACGAAAACACTGAAATATAATTAATTAGTAATTGTAGATATTAGGTTGTGCGTGTTTACTATTTTGAGAGTAAATTACCTGTGTTGATGTCTAAAAGGTGGATGTAAGCATGTATGGTTGAAGTGTCGAATTGTAGGTTATGTGAACTGAAATATTTTATGTCAAGTTGTAGAAGAGATTTATGCATTGGCGTGCTGTTTATGTGGGGTCTGTAGGGGAGTGGGCGTGTATGTGTGGTTGCGTGTCTTTGTTATTGAAGGGGTGTAGGCGTTTGTATAGGTGTTGTTCTGGAAAGAAAGTGATTTCGTTGAGGAGGTTGTGGTTGGGTTGTTTGATGGCTTTGTGGATCTCTAAATGTTCTAAAATTTTTAATTGGTTATAATTGTTTGAAGTTTGTAATATTTTTGCCTTGTCTATGGAAATGGAGTGTTGTGAATCTTTTATGTGGGTAGGTACCTATGGCTGATTTTGGTTGGTTTTTGGAGTGTTCTTTAAATCGGGTACCCAGACTTCGTGTTGTTAGTCCTATGTAAGAGGCGGGACATTGGTTGCAGAACCCCCTACAACCTAACTCCATCATGATCTCGTTTGATATCGTAAACCTATACACCAACATCCCAATACACAACACGCTTTCCATCCTCTCAGACATTCTACACAACCACGATTCATTCAGGAAAAACTTCAAACTGAATCCAATAGACATACAAAACCTCTTGAAACTTTTTGACCTCACAACGCAACAAAATTTCTTCACCTTCAACAGCAAATACTACCAAATGCAAGACGGCCTCCCTATGGGTTCACCCATCAGTGGAATTCTAGCCAATATTTTCACTGACCATCTTGAAAACAAAATTAAACTGCTACCCGAATTTAACAACATAGCAATCTGGAACAGATATGTTGATGACATTTTTTGTATTTGGACCGGAACAATAACAGAATTACACCAATTTCACATTGACATTAACAACCTTTCCAAAATTAAATTTACAATAGAAATAGAGCAAAATAACAAACTAAACTTCCTCGATTTAACACTTCACAAAGACAACAACCACATACATTATAACATCTATCGAAAACCAACCACCACAGACATAGTCATACCACATAATTCATACCACTCACCACAAATCAAAAGATCTGCATTTAACTTCCTATTCAATCGCCTAATATCCACACCACTTAATAAAATACACTATAACGAAGAATACAACACCATTTTACAAATTGCATTGAATAACAAATACAACTTTTCGTTTATACACAACATTTATCGTAAAATAAAACAACAACACATCATTAACACCATTTTTCCCCATCATAACGTTCAAAAAACATTTAAAGCCATTACTTATAACCACACAATACATAACAAAATCAACAAAATCTTTAACAAACATAACATTAACATTATCCCAAAATCTCAACCCACTATCAAAAAAATCCTTACAAACATAAAACCAAAAACTCCGGCACAACAAAAATCAGGCATATATCAAATATTCTGCAACCAATGTCCCGCCTCTTACATAGGACTAACAACACGAAGTCTGGGTACCCGATTTAAAGAACACTCCAAAAACCAACCAAAATCAGCCATAGGTACCTACCCACATAAAAGATTCACAACACTCCATTTCCATAGACAAGGCAAAAATATTACAAACTTCAAACAATTATAACCAATTAAAAATTTTAGAACATTTAGAGATCCACAAAGCCATCAAACAACCCAACCACAACCTCCTCAACGAAATCACTTTCTTTCCAGAACAACACCTATACAAACGCCTACACCCCTTCAATAACAAAGACACGCAACCACACATACACGCCCACTCCCCTACAGACCCCACATAAACAGCACGCCAATGCATAAATCTCTTCTACAACTTGACATAAAATATTTCAGTTCACATAACCTACAATTCGACACTTCAACCCATTCTTTCCTTCTCTAAGCTTCAACCATACATGCTTACATCCACCTTTTAGACATCAACACAGGTAATTTACTCTCAAAATAGTAAACACGCACAACCTAATATCTACAATTACTAATTAATTATATTTCAGTGTTTTCGTTCACCTTTATGATTTCTGCTGATTGAGATCATCCAAGCTACATATTTCTAACATCTCCCACACAATGTTTCATTCACCTGCTTCTTATATTGTATCTTGTACTAATGACGGTAAACTATTTTATTTATAAACAATAACCATAATTATAAGTATTACAGCTACGGCCTGAAGATGGTATTGCTTAACGTACCGAAATCGATAGCCTATACAGAAAAATAAAAACCTATTAGCTCGACTGCACTTCCTGTGTGTTTTTTAACCTTAGAGTAGTTACTTTAAGTAAGACACATCTCTTTTGAGAGATAAGGAATACGCGTGTGGTTCGAAGAATTATGCGATTCATATTGGCGTGAGGACGCGTGTCTTCGAACCTGTCATTATGAAATATAATTGTGATTGGCGGCTGTATTTGAAAAATCATGACGAAGGAGTTTGTTTTATGGTGGAAGTGGTGTTTCGTTAAATACTCGTAGTCCAGTCAACCTATGTTTTTAGTGGGAAAAAATAGTATAAAGCTAATTTTTTCCTCATCGACTGCTACCATTTAGAAAAGTGTTTAGCCAAAAGTCCCCGCCCCTACCCCTCTTACTCCCCCCCCCCCATGTGCTCCCCTAAACATGAAAAGTGTAGGGGTTTCGTAAATCGCGTCTCTCTCGATTACTAAACAACATATCGGATTGCAATTTGTTTTATTTTCTTTACTATAGCATTGTCTACAAATATGTTTCCGTTGACTTTCGTCGTAACTTTTACCGTTTGTTTGTATTTCGCATGAAAAGGAAAAAAGTTGTATATTTTTCGGCACGTAATTTTACTTTTTGTCGCAGAAATTTGCAGGCCGATATTTTATCAAAAAATGTTACCTACAAAAGTTGTAGCTCCCATTATTACCTTTCCAATGATATGAAATAGTACTTACTTTGTTAAAGAGCCTGCGAGATTCAGCCGGTGTAATGCAGAATGCGTACCCAGTCGTGGCGGGTTCCGCAAAGATGGGGCCGGCGGTGCGGCGTTGCAATGCTAATATTGTTGTATAGTGAGAGTGTTTTTTTTTAACTTTAAGGTACCTACACTATTGTATTTTCTCTAAACAAAACCAAACGAGTCTCAGCGAAACCTAAATTCCACCCTTTTTAAATATATGTGTCAAATATTAAGTCCTTGTATAGGTACAGCTAAAAAACGTATTTTAAATACTTTTTTGTTTGAAAATGCATGTAATATTTTGTTTATGTTATTTTAGAAGAAAATAATTGCGGTATCTTAATTTTAAGTAAAAAATATTTTCAGATTATTCACATTAAAAAATAAATTGGTGTTGACCATTTCCGATTTCCTAAACTTCCATGACAAGTTCTTCATTTTCCTCGACTTCAACCAAAGTTACATTGCCGCATGATCCATCCCCAGTCCGTAGCGCTGATTTTCTTATCTCCATTCCATTTTTGAATTTGATAGATGCTCGATAAGCGTGTTGTTCAGCAGCTCCAGATGTTGGAGCGAGGGATGCCATGCTAAATTTGGATTTTAATGACATTTTTTTAACAGCTTTAAGTTACATTGAATATCTACTGTCATTTAGACATGCAGACCTTGTGCACCCATATAGTTTCAAGAAAAAAGCCTCTCCTTCCTCTTTGAGAGTATTTGTGTCTGCCTGTTTTTCATAAACGCGGTCGGCGATTGTAAGCTCCAGGTAACTCGAATGGAGAACGGCGGTCCCAGGTATTCTAAAGGGCAAGCGATGGGGGGCTACTAGTGAATGCTAAAACAAAACTTAAAGCGCACAGAAATCTCCCTAAGCGGAAACAGTACCGAATCGGATTCGGTAGCGGTTTCTACGGGAAATCAATTAACAAAACGGAAAGTGACCAAAAGCTTACCTTGCAATTAACGGAGAGGCAGAAAGCAAGAGATTTAAACGGTTAAACACCAAAGACAAAAATATGCAAAAAGCAAAAGATTTTACGTTTTGGTAAACTCCTAATTAATGGAAAAGGTCTATCAATTAAATCTTATATAAAGTGCGATAATGACATGAGGGAACGAACCGCCACTGCATATTCGATTGTCTACATCTAAAAATTACAGCTCCTTTAATTAATTACGTCCTTTCCGGATGTCTGAAAAATACGGGGCCGGTGTCCAATTTTGAGTTTTTTAAGGGCGCACCTATCGGATGTAATTTCGTCTTAATCTGAGCCTGTTATATGTAACCCATTCAAACTAATCACAGTTAATTATATTTATCCAAATAGTAGGAATGAATCTCCAAATTTGGCAGTTCAGTAATTCCTTTTTGTTTCTTGGAATGGAAGGTCAAGCTCCATAATCACGTTGATATTTTCCTTAAACTGCACTTTAGATAACTAAAATCGATTAATAGATAATTAACGGAACTAAAACTGATATTGATTCTCTATCTTATTCCCTGGTAAGAGAGCTTTCGGCGGCTGTAAAAATAATTTAAATATTCCTACGGGAACGGTTGCAAACGGCAAATTAGAGCGTTTTTAATGGTAACGGTGGCTGAAACACAGCTCTTGAAATTAAATCAATTACTTCTATCTTCAAACTCGTATAATCAACTCAAACGACCTTATATTCTCACCGTGCAGTCACTGAAAACAAGGAACGTTTTAAAATGGCCTGAAAGTGGAAGTCGTTAATTCGTCACGCTAGATAAAATTGTCGTTCTTCAGTCATCGATTGTGACTGTATAAATTGTTATCAGCAAAAAACCGAAAAAACCTTAAAGTGTCGAGATTTTTTTATTTCTAAAGGTTATGCCCACCATCCTGTGGGATGTATTTCAATATAACCGAAGGCTTTAAGACAATTTTCAGCTTTCTGGAAATTGCATCCAGTTGCGGTTCTAATTTTACTGGATTAGAATGACGATTTAAAAACTGTTGATGATCTTTAATAAGGGATGTCCGTTGCAGAAGAAAAAAAACCCCAAGAATAATATGCATTTTTTTACAATAATCGGTCGCCCATCTTACATACCGTAAATCGCAAATTGTAAATTGTCATTCGCCTCCACATTTGTAAGTGGGATATAAGCTCAGTACTTCTCGAAAACTATATATATATACAGAAGACGACCAGGACACCCACTAAGTACGTGCATTCATTTTTGATAGTGACTAAAAACTGCTTACACATTCGTGGCATGATAATGCACAATGATTTTAAATAAGTCTTTGACTGGAATATAACTATGAACTCGAGGCACCTAGATTGTTGGATAAGGAAGCATCCCAACATGATAAATTATTAAAATTTAAATTAGTGATTTTTATCGTAAATATACCTATTTGTTTAAATGACCAGGACCATTTACTGCCCAACAGATAAGATCTGTACGTATACCCTTTGTATACAAATCAAGACGTTGCAGACATTCATAATTATTATTTCACCTTAGTCAAATTTTTTCAGAACACGCCATGCAAGACGGGCATCATTATTTTCAACGTTGTGTGTAGGTAGTTCTACGACCTTAACAATACTCAAGAGTTGACAACGTGCCTGTGATGCAAGATACGAAACCAAGCAGAGGTAGCTGTGACAAAAACAGGAACACATCTTATACGTGAGGTCAAAGGGCTGCAAGTATACATAAAGATGTGTGGACAGAGCAACACTTTTTTTTCGTTCTCTGCAATGTAGATATCATAAAGTGGGTTTCTGTCTGTGTTTGCAGGAAGGACATATTTCATTTAAATTACTCATTACATGCAGTATTACTACAAACTGCAGACCTATAAAAATTAATGCCAGTCTATTACCATATAATAAGTACATCAGCAACTTATTTAATTAATTTAAATGCTAATTAGGTATGCTAAGTTTTTTTTTGTATGTGGATTACGTATTAGCAAAACCGTTACTAAGTAAAGTGTTATTGATTATCGCGTGCCTTGTCAGTTTTCTATTTTAACTCATAATTAAATTCCATTTTGAGGCTAGAATGCACTAAGAGAGAAATATCTGCCTCTGCTTCCATATTAGTTAGGGGTTATACTTACAGCTCTGCAACGTAAGATTAGGAATTAATATCCAGTTAAATTTTCGGCGTTATTTGGCAGTTAATCTAACTTACAAGCGATGGATGCAAAATAGTTCTCTACTGTTCTATTCATGGGCCGTCAGGGCCGTTTAGATAGGCTTTCAGAGTTGAACTATAAAACAACATTTCTCAGGTTTAAAATACAAAATTTTAATTTTGACGAAATCAGTCACGTGATCAAGTTTAGGACATAGAAGTGGGAGTGAGTTACAAATACGTCATAAGAGATAGATTATAAGAGTGTTCTGGGTATCATAAGCATTAGTTCTAGAATGAATTTTCTTACAGCACTGGTGCTATAATGAAAAACACCCTTAACGCTAGACATTTTATTTAAGCTATTCTGGAACCGCTCGAGAAAAATCGGTGTGTGTGACTTTCTCATTGGTTACTCGCTCGCTCACCAAATTTCGTCTTCTTGGCACTAAATTAAAACCGCCCGTTTGGATTTGTCAAAGTGTAGTAATATTTCGTTGACCCATTCAATAATTACAATTGTTTGGTCGCGTCAGATAGATATGAAGAATTTTAAAAATATTGTAACAAAAAAAATGTATAAAACAACACAGTAACACAATAAGAACAAACAATTACATCGAACATGAAGTAGTAAGCATGTATTCCTCTATGCTATAATAACATTTGTCTAGTAGATATTTCTTTAGTGAGTCTTTGAATTTATTGAACGACAGTTGTTTTAGGGTATTACTTAGATTGTTATATAACAAGACATTTAAAGAATTTTTTTCCGATAGGTACACATAGCCTTAACTTAAAGGGCAGTAACAAATTATGATGTCTAGTATTATATTGATGACTACTCCTGTCTGACACTTTACTGTTAGCATTTATTCGGCGATGTATTTCAATTAGAGTATAGTATAGATATAGGCAGGGTACTGGCATAATTTTATAAGATTTAAAGTAACCTCTACAATGATCTCTCGAACCAATATTGACTAGGATTCTAAGCGCTTTCTTTTGAAGTCTAAAAACTCTTATAGCCTGAGACGCATTGCCCCATACAGTTATTCCATAGCTGATTTTCGAGTGAAAAAATGCAAAATAACAATTTAAGAGGACAGATTTGTCAACAGATGTTCTGAGCTTAACTAATAAATAAATACTTGAAGATAACGTGTTACAAAGTAAATCAATAT